AGTAGAAAGCCCCTCAGAGACATCCAAATAACAAATGTAAGACACAACTTCAAGTTCTCTTCGAGAAATAATGACTTAAAATAATGCTTAAGAGCAGCACCATTAATTTTCGGCAAGGCCTTATTTGGTAAGGATGGTTCCCCAAAAAAGAATTTAAAAAAGGCTGACTGAAGGCAGACTCTGTGGATGGGTGCTACTTCGGGGTCTCACAGCAGAGTATTATCATACATGAGCAGTAACGATATAGAGGTTTGTGAGGGTACGGTATGTGAGCCGTAGCCTCACATACCCATAGGAACATGATTTGATTACTCAAGCTCTTTCACCTTCACTGCTGTTCCCGAGGGCAAAAGGTCTATTTCCTCTTGTCAAGTGAACCCATGAATGGCTACATTTCAAAGGGGTGGCCGCTCTCTCAGTTCTTTGAAAGTACCTTAAGAAACCTGTTGGAAAAGTATGAATGTTTGGACACTGATTCTTAGGAGAAGTTTTGGGACCACCTTCTTGCAGTTACTTTATGGGACCTTCATGGCATAGCTGCCAGAATCACATCTGTTTATCAGCATCAATGTGAAAAATGCACAGTTCAACAACTTGGTAAAGGACCTGAGAGACCACATTTTCGAAGATACTTTTCTTCATCAATAATTAATGGACCATTTTGCAAGTCCCATGAAAATAAAGCAAGAGCCTGAGATATCTTACCCCAAGCCTTCTAAATATGACATGGCTTTAACTCTTATGTGAATAATTAGATCACCTGAAGCAAGGCCACATAACTTGTTCTGCTAATCCCATGTCATTCTGAGGGACCCCAATAGATCATGGCCACGCCTGTCCCTACAGAATCTGCCTCTAGCTACATGCAGCTACTGAGCGCTTGAAATGTGCCTAGTCCACGGGCACCTGGTGGCTCAGTCGGTTAAGCTTTTAACTATTGATCTCAGCTCACGTCTTGATTTCAGGGTCATGAGTTCAAGCCCCACATTGGGCTTCATGCTGGGCGTGGAGCCTACTTTAAAAAAAAAATGTGACTAGTCCAAACTGAGATGTGCCATAGAGCAAATGACATGCTGAGATTTGAAGGCTTAGTTCAAAAGTAAAAATGTAAAATACTTCATTAACAATTTTTATATTGATTATATGTTGAAATGATATTTTAGGTATATTGGATTAAATAAAATATATTATAATTAATTTCATCATTTCTTTTTACTTTTTCTAAATGTGGCTGCTGGAATGTTTATAATATCTATAATTATCATATTTCTATTGGACAGCACTGCTCTAGACCCATGAATCGCAGGAGGAAAATGGATATAACCCTTTGCAGAATGAGCAAAGGTTTACCTGTAGACTTTATAAAATGAGTATTTCCCGCGTTCTGCTGACCTTGTTGTTAACATTTGGCATTCTTATCATAAAACTGCCCTTCAATCTTACACAGAGATGCAGTCTCATTAATTTTAGGCTTTTTCTTGAGCCAAATTATATATTAAATGTATTTCAGTCAAGAAGTGCCTTTGAAAAGCTTCATCCTGAACATGCCCCATAATCAAAACTTACAGTCTTCTAATTTGTTGCCAATGATAAAATCTTACTTTGAAAACCACAATGTGTTCATTGGAATACTGACTTTGTTGGAACACACGAAATATGTGTATCTAGCTATCCCACAAGTACACCCAATGTCCAAACTCGCTAAAGCCCGCGAGAGAACAGTGAGAGAAATTATGACAAGAAAGGATCAGGCCTTCCTGACAGATTGTCAGGAAGAGAGTTCCTTTATTTATTCATTAAGTAGCATTTATGAAATGCTCACTCCCCAAAAAGTATAGTTCTCTTTGTGATTTTCTTCTCTTGGTCTTTATGATAGAATAGATATATCAATCTCAGAAAGGAAGTAATATGACAGAAAACTTTTCAAATGTTCGCCAACTGCCTCCTGCCTCCCATTATTACTCGGGTTGTTGTTGTTATTGTTGTTTATTCAGGTGAGGATATGACTACATTCTTAACAGATTTTTTTTTTTTAAAGATTTTATTTATTTATTTGAGAGAGAATGAGATAGAGAGAGAGAGCATGAGAGGGGGGAGGGTCAGAGGGAGAAGCAGATTCCCTGCTGAGCAAGGAGCCCCATGCGGGACTCGATCCTGGGACTCCAGGATCATGACCTGAGCCGAAGGCAGTCGCTTAACCAACTGAGCCACCCAGGCGCCCAACAGATTTTTTTTGGTTGGCCGGTTGGCTGGTTTGCAAGAATGAGACTGTACTGTCTCAGGTTTTTCAACAGCTTTTCCAACTACCTCTCAACATCAACATTAAATTTTTTAAAATAAAGGGGGTGCCTGGGTGGCTCAGTCGTTAAGCACCTGCCTTCGGCTCAGGTCATGATCCCAAGGTCCTGGGATCGAGCCCCGCATAGGGCTCCCTGCTTGGCCGGGAGCCTGCTTCTCCCTCTCCCACTCCCCCTGCTTGTGTTCCCTCTCTAGCTGTGTCTCTCTCTCTCTGTCAAATAAATAAAATAAAATCTTTTAAAAAATAAATAAATAAATAAATAAAGGGGCGCCTGGGTGGCTCAGTTGTTAAGTGTCTGCCTTTGCCTCAGGTCATGATCCCAGGGTCCTGGGATTGAGCCCTGCATCTGGCTCCCTGCTCCGAGGGAAGGCTGCTTCTCCCTCTCCCACTCCCCCTGCTTGTGTTCCCTCTCTCGCTGTGTCTCTCTCTGTCAAATAAATAAATAAAATCTTTAAAATAAAATAAAGTTAAAAAAAAGATGAAGGAATAAGTAAAATGTCAACTAATCTTTTCTCTTTATTAATGGTATTTGTTCCTTCCTCCTCCTCTTGAGTCCCCACCCCAATATCTCCTTCAATGAAAATGGTGTTAGCATTTTGCCATATGATTTTCTCCATGTTCATATACATGGAACATGAAACTTATCTAATTTGGAAGCCCACTTTAAGAAAAGAATACAAAATTATGAAGACAAAATTAGATATAGGACCTTAAAAACGTGCCCTTGAAAGTGGGAGGGGGTCTCTAAAATTTAAGCTTTATTAGTTTCACAGGAAATCAGTTCTGCTCATATAATTCAGATATACATATATGAGTGAAATAGGATCTCATTATTGTTAAGGAGGGGATTATATTATGAGCACATGTCTGTATCTTTTCTTCTAAACGACATATTATGGAAATCATTCCAAGACAAATGGTATAGCTCAAATTCACCTTTTCACATGAGCACATAACATTCCATGCACGTGTGTTCTATAGGTTATTCAACCTTCCCTTACGAGTGCACAGTCTCTGTTTCTAATTGGGGTGGGGGCGGAGTTTGAGGGGGTGGATTCTTTTGCAACTACTAAAAATGCCACGTTGAACAACGTTTTTATGGTTTAAAAAAAAAAAAAGGAATACTCAAGATTTTTAATTGTACTAAATTTATTAATTTGAGGAGAAATAGCAGTTTTATGATGTTAAACCTTTCTATCCAAGTGCTCAGTATAAATTTTTTCACTTAGTCATGTTCTATCCACAAGGAATTTTCAATCCAGTAAGAAAAATAAAACCAAGATACAGGAAACATGGAAAGTACAAATTGTAACACATGAAATTGAAGGGAGAAAATACTCAAGAGAGTAATGATCTGTGTAGATGTGACCTACACAAAATGGAGGAGGGGAAACGTTAAAGGGGACAGGTATCTGGCAGAAAGGAAGCTCAGCCAGGACATGGGGACACTCAGGAAGCAGTGAACACAGAGCTCAGTGGGGCTGGCATGCAGAGGGTGCATGGTAAGCAAACAGAAGACAAGGCTAGCAAGGTGGGCTAGAGCCCATCCACGCTAAGAATGCCAGGACAGAGGAGTTTATCCCCATTTCTGCAGGGCAATGCAGTTTGGGGCCAAGAATGATGAGAGTTCTGTTCTAAGATCACTCTGTCACGTAGGTGAAAGACAGACCAACAGGGAAGAAGGGCCAGCGCTCGTTAGAGAGTGCTTCTAATAGTCCACAAGAGAGGACACGACACCTGAGCCAGAGGGAAGGAAGTGAGAACAGAAAGGACAGGAAAGATGAAACACAGCCCAAGAATTCAAATACTGGTTAGATTAGGGAGGGAAAGAGAAGCATTTCTGTTCTTAAGCCTGGGTAAACTGCAGGATAGTGGTGCCATTAACACAGATGAATGAAGCAGAAGACCGTGTTTGAGTGAAAGATCGTCAGTTTCTTTTCAGACATGTTAAGTTTAACATGTAAGCAGGATATCCAAACAGACATCCTGAACTAGAGCCCAAAGGGGGAGGGCTGCCCTCTCTTACTAAGGGTAGTGATAGATTTCACAAGTCCTCTGGAGAACCCCAACAGATGAGCTCACTTTCATAGAATGTTGGGCCTAGTCACTTTCTACAAGCTTCTCATCTTCCAGAAAAGCTAACTGCTTCTTCAGTGTCTTCTTATACCACAACCTAGCTGGGGCAGCCCTTCCCTAAACTCTAAACAGGCAAGACATTATTCGAAAGCTTCATGATGCTATGGGGAAAAAATTCAGCCAACTCTTACAACTAGGTAAATTCAGCCATATTTCAAAATAAAATTTATGCAGTCAAAAATATTACAAGGCACAAGTCCAGTTTTGTTTTAAACAGAACCTGAATTTTTAAAATAACAGAAACTCAGTTTCACTATCAAACTGTACTTCGAAATTATTTTTCTTATAAACTAAATGTGCAAAGTAACTGTTGACAGAGATTTGGTGAAAGACCATTATAGATATGACATTTTCCCAAACTAAAATTTTGGTGATTCCTGGTTCAAAGGCAATAACCAAAGCTGAAAGGACAAAACTGACAACTACAGAAAACTCCAGAATGTTTTTATTTTAGCAGCCACTCAATTTGCTATACCTGAGTGTTGGGGGGCAGAGGGGAGAATGGGGGGCAGGGGATTTTAATTAACATGAAATTATATCTTGTAAAAAATTAAAATGTACAAACCTCATAATGTTCATATTCATCCACATCAAATGTCTCAAAGTCAAAAAATCCATGTTGTAATCCCTAGAAGCAGAATTTGAATTAGTTTTTCCACACCAAATTGATAAGTCCTCTAGCCATTCCTAGAATTCCTGCTCACAAATGATTCTCACTAACCTGAAGGAAAAAGCTTGAAACCTTTCATTCATAATGCATATCTAGATATCATCTTCTAACATTGGTAATTTTGTATTGAGACTTTCTCACAAGTGGGACTTAACATTTAGAAAAGCATGAAAATATGTTCCACAAAATATATCTAGAGTCCTAATTTACATTAGTTTTATATGTAATAAATTAATTATATATATATAATGGAACATACTAGCAAATGTAGAATTAAAACCTATTGGGAACTATGCAATTAATTCATATCAAACTATGATAGGATTTATAATAGTGATTAACTTTTCAGATAGGAGAAGAATATTCTTGGGAGGTTTTGTTTTCCTTTTATCATTAATGAGATACTTAGCAAAAAGGGCATTTCTACTTCCTAGGCCCTTATTTGTTCCTAAAACTCTTTGAGAGCATTTGTTTTCTGGTCATAGTTACTGAAAGAGTAAAAGTGTACTTGACTGCTCTTACGATTTAGAGGAAGAGCTGTATTTTTAACAACAAAAAGAGAACATTCATTATTCCTTTTTATAACTAATGACTTAGAACTTTTAAAAACTATCCAGCTTGCTCAGATATAATATTTTGAAGAGGACAGTCTTTTATTTTATAAGTCATGAAGCTGTACAGATTATAATAGAATACAAAACCACTGTTACTTTTAAAAGTTACATATTCAAGTCATTAAAAATAAAGAAACTATGAAGCCAAGCTCCAGTACATCTATCTTCAAAACAGTTAGGAGACCAATGTTTTCTAAAATGCAGAACACAGATCACCTGCAACAGAAGCATTTGCAGTAATTTAGATTTAAAATACAGTCCTAAACCCCTAAATCCCAGAACTATTAAATGTGATTCTCTGGGGGTAGATCAGCATGTTAACATGCCTTCTAGGTGATTCTTATAAATGATAAATCCTGACAACACTGGGTTAGTCAACCCCTACTATTAGAAGCAAAGCAAGTTATTTAAATTATCTTACCTTTAAACAAAGCAACTTAAGTGGATCCGTATGCACCATTCCAGTGAAAGAAGTGAGAAAAATATACCTGGGCCTTCAACCTTCCTTCCTTTCTCTTCATTTAAAGTGTGTATTTATGTATGTTTCTGTGTGTAGTTCACACCCATGTAAACTATGCTTATGATGATGCCAATACAACAAAATCAGAAAGATATGCTTCCTAAAGAGGCAAAAATGTAGCCATACTCTGTCTACACTCTTAGGAGTCTGGTACTCATTGCCATGGCAATTGCCCAGAATATGGGGTTTATTTAAGGTGGAGTGAGGTAATGTGTCTCAGTTGCTTAAAGACATGTTGAACATCTGTCAGATCTTCTAAAATCTCATCTGCGTTTGGGAAAAATAAACCCCAGCATTTGATGAAACAAATTTACAGAAGACCTTATCCATGAACAAAGTCACACCTTTCCTCTCTAACAGGAAGGATGTCATAAATTTCTATATCCAGTTACCAAGCTACCATAACAGGCGGGGATATTCCAGTGTGAACTCTTCCTGAACTTCATACATTTATAAAAGAAATAGCCTGTACCAGATGGCAGAATAGGCAAAACAGTAACAACAACAACAATAACAATAATAAATTACTTGTTTTTTCCCCTTGGGCATACTTCTTAAATGCTGTAATTGTGGATTATATATTGACTAATCTCTCCATAAGGGTTCTTAACTTGTGATACTAGAAGTCTGGGTTGGTGACATTACTTGCAGGATGAGCTAGAGTATTTTGACAGTCTTTAAGTGGAAAGAAAAATATTTGAAACTATTTTAAACTTTTACAGATTTTAAATGAAATATCAAAGTCAAAAACATACATAAAACTAGCATACTTATCATACCAATTTTCTCAACTCAAAATCAGTCTTATATTACATCAGATTTCAAAAGAAACTAGAACAAGAATCATGCTCATAGTGTATCTATAATCCATAAGGACACTTGCCTATGGGCTATGCAATATGTACATTCCTGACTGATAAATCATGGCTATATGTTCAAGATGGAATGATGTACTTTGAACCTTCATTAGAATTTCACAATATAGGGGTGCCTGGGTGGCTCAGTTGGTTGGGCGACTGCCTTCAGCTCAGGTCATGATCCCAGGGTCCTGGGATCGAGCCCCGCATCGGGCTCCCTGCTTGGCGGGAAGCCTGCTTCTCCCTCTCCCACTCCTCCTGCTTGTGCTCTCTCTCTCTCTCTTTCAAATAAATAAATAAAATCTTTAAAAAAAAAAAGAATTTCACAATATAGAGGCGCCTGGGTGACTCAGTCAGTTAAGCTGAGGTCATGATCCCAGGGTCCTGGGATCGAGCCCCATGTGGGGCTCCCTACTCAGCAGAGAGTCTGCTTCTCCCTCTGACCCTCCCCCTGCTCATGCTCTCTCTCTCTCTCAAATAAATAAAATAAAATCTTTTTAAAAATTTTAAAAAAAAACTTCACAGTATAGCATGCATGACTTTTCAGTAAATCAATGCTTCTAGAACAAGTTCTAAAAGTTCTCAAAAATATTTTAGATTCACTTCTCCATTATACATATGAGTAACTTAAATAACTATGCCTCCAAACTGTAAAGTGCATCAAATCACCCAGAAGGGCTGTTCAAACACAGACTGCACAGCCCCACTCCCATAATTTATGGTTCTGTCAGTCTCGGAGAAGGACTGAGAATTTGCATCTCTAGCGAGCCCCACACTTTGACAAACCATTGATTTATAAGACACCCTGATAGGATATTAGAAAGCTCCAAATTGATAAGGAAATGTGAGTTAGAATGAGCCCTGCTAATAACTCCCTGTGGCCCTAAGAGTGACTTAACCTCCCTGGGGTTGTTTCCTCAGCTAAAACAATGAGATAATAGTATCTGGCCCACTTATTTCTTTACCGGCATGTAATAATATCCAGGTAGGAAACCTACATGGAAATGTTCTCCTCCACATGAACAGAGGTGCGGAGTGGCTTCCTATCTCTCCCACACCAAGCTCGAGCTTGATAAGGAAGCTGAGCCGGTGACAAAGCAATGTCACAAGCACAGAGGCAGATAGAAGCAATACGTCTGCCCAGGAAGAGGAATCATTTAAATGAGAAAGGGAAACCTCTTCTACTTCAATAAGGAGCTAGAGAGTTACCCCTGGGCACCCCTCAATTTGCTCGACAGGCTATATTTTACAGATCAATCATTCCATCAAGAAGTGGAAAGCCTTCTGCTAACTGCCTGCCTTCTCTTCTCTCCAAAGCAAACAAGGATATTGACATTATTCCTTTTTCATATTTTGAAACTTCTGCGCCAACTATAGCAAGGAGAATTATTATTACCTTTCTGATTCCCTGCAAACAGTCGAGGATGGTGAGATTGTAAGTGCAATTTCCAAAGGAAGCATCCCTATAAACACACACAAAAAAAAAATGCTAAAAATGCACATTCAGAATATTCAAATAATAAAATACCAAAGTCAACTGAAGACTGCTTGTTTGGCTTCACAGCTGTCAACGTGTAAATTAATGTAACACATCAGATCCTACTAGCTAACTACTCTTACAGCTTCAATGAAGCATTTCTGAAATTGCTTTAATCCAATAGGCAGAATTAGGAAGAAAAGCAGATCTAAGAGCCTGAGCTCTAAAGTCAGATTGCCTTTGTTCAAATTCCAACTCTGCCACATACTGGCTGGAGCCTTGAGCAAGTTATTTTACTTCTGCTGCTTGGTTTCCCATCTCTGAAACGATGTTACTGATGGTATCTACCATTCTTAGGATTGTTGTCAGATTGCATTTAATAAATGTAAAGTCCTTCATATAAGAGCCTAGCATATAGGAAGCACCTAATAAATATTATGACTCTTCTTTATATTATTAACAGTGAACTGGACTGTTTCATTAAGTAAAAGATTCACAATCACTAAAGGTATTCTGACAGAGGAACAACCACCTATCAGGAATATGGTAAATACAAGCATAAAAATGTAAGGAGGACAATGTAGGCAGGTCAACAGAAGCTAGCTGTTATTTTCTTGGATTAAATGCCACCTCTCCCACCAACCCCCCCCCCAAAAAAAACTATGGAAAACTCAGTCACGCTTCCAAACAATCTCCTCTCAGGATCAATGGGAGCTTCTAATGCACCATGAAGTGTTGTATCAAAAGGAATGGGAATCTACTGCACTGAAATTTGAGTACTTCATACTTTATTCAAGTTTTTAGAGCAACTTAGCAGACTTGCTTTAGGCAACATAAAACTGAAGTATCAAGTTCAGGTCAGTTAAGCAAGAACTGGCACTGGAGCTTTAACACTAGCAATGTTCCAAGGTGTCCAAGGCAAGAAACTTGACCTCAAGGCTCTGTCTCTCTGCCCAGCCCCCATTGCTGACCCAAAGGAACAGAGCTGTCAAGCACCTGCCAATGACAAAGTCAAATGCACCACACAAAGGCGGTCCAAGGGCGGCAGTGGGGAAGGTGCCAGATGATGATGTTCCTTGGAGAGAAAATGACCTTGAAGGGCTTTAACATATAATTAACATAAAACTGAGTTTTATATCACAACCATCCAAGGTAACTTGAACCTATGGCCGCTAAGCCGTGAATTAAAATGGAGCTTCAACATCACTGGGTTTCAGCATCCTGACAACCTCATACAAAAACAGTTAAGTTAGAAAAGCGACTTAACAGAAATGCTTAAGTCCTGAAACTTCAGAGTTAACCTATGTAAATAAGAAGGGTTATTCTTGATAAGTAAGTTTGATTTCAAGACTTCTTTTTTTAATGCCCTCTGAACTCATGGGTCACTGGAAACCAAAATAGACCCTTTTCCAATACCTTGTAAGACGTAAACCATATGTTAAAAAGCAAATTTTAATGGACTAAACCAGAGAAAGGTGTAGCTGGGGATCCAAGATAAAATAGTAGTTTATATAAATAATCACATATTCCTTTATAGGCACTTGTCTCTTTGGGACAAGGGTTCAGAATCTTTTGTGTGTCATGAACCCCTTAGCAATCTGACGAAGCCTGTGAACCTCTTTTTTCAGATAGTGTTTTTAAATGCATAAAATAAAATATAAATGAATAACAGAAGGCTAATTCAGTCAAATTATCAAAATATAAAAAACTTATAATACCATAATATTTAATTATTTACTGTTTTATTAACATAAACAAGATCTAGTAGATCTAATAATGACTATAATTTGAAGAAGGAATGAACATAAATAATAAGATACATGAAATATATAAGATGCATGCAAAAACTATAATGGGATATAAAAATATCTGTAATTTTGATTGTGACAGTCATTTGTATTGCTAATAATACTACAGTTTATTTCTAACATTTATAATTGAATGTAATCTTATCAGTTATAAGATTACTGAAACCAAAGACTCTTTTCTTGTCATCCAAATTCAGCAACTCTCTGTACTTTCTCCATAGGCCTTCGATTAAAAATGACTGCTTTAGTAAAGAAAAGGGGGGAAAAAAAACACTTCTTTTTATTTAAAAGAGTAAGACAATTGTAAGAATTGGAGGTACTCCTTATTCTCTGAAGTATATTTTCCCACACCTAGAGTCACCTAAACAAATTCACATGCATAAATCATCAGAAAAGAGCCAGACCCTGTCTTTCTCTCTGCAAAGTTTGGTGAGACGATCATGACATCTCCTGTCCTACCTCAGCCACAGTTTTTCCTGGGGCCTGAAAAGAGCTCTGGTGACCTGATGGTCAAATCTACAGGCTGGAGAGAGGAGGGCCAGGTAAACCTGCCAGGGGACAGAATCAGGACACAAAGCAGTCACAGCAGGCTGGAAAGTCAGGGAGAAGTTTACGGCTTGAAATATAATAAGGGATGCAATAAAATGAGGTCACATTCTCAGAATGGGGGAAAGGAGATGACACACCAAAGGAGATTATACCCATTACTCAGGGTGATTAATCCTCGTGATGGCTGCACAAAGACAATAGGTTCCCAAAACCTGCCCCCATACCGAGCAAGAGAAATGGCTTATTACTGCAACCTGCCTCCTACTTAGTCAAAGGAGAGTAACCATAAAAGTGAAGGGATACAAAAACACGTTACATATTCTCTGGCAGAAAAAAAAAGAGAAAAAGAGAAGGTAGAGGGGCGCCTGCGTGGCTTAGTCAGTTAAGCATCTGCCTTCGGCTCAGGTCATGATCCCAGGGTCCTGAGATCGAGTCCCACATCGGGCTCCCTGCTCAGCAGGG